GACCCGAGGCCTCTCACCGCAGGTGCCCACACCCCGAGTCCCAGCCAGCCCGCAGCCCCAAACCCCCCCAGGGGCCCACCCCAAGGCCCCCAACCCCCAGTCTCGCGAACCCAGCAACAGCGACCCCCAGACCCCAGCCCCAGCCCCCCACCCCGAGGCCCCGACCGCCAACCCCCAAAGCCCTGCTCGCCTGCAACCCAGCCCAACACCCAGGCCACCCACCCCCAGCCCCCCATTCCCAGGGCCCACCCTACCCCACCGCAGCATAACAGAAACCCAGCAACACAACACCCCAACCCCCACCCCCGCAGATCACCCACCCGCAACTACCCAATCCCGCAGCCGCCACCACCACCAAGCCACCAAAACCAAACCCCCAAGCCCCAGAAACCCACCACCCAACAACCACCCAAAACAGACAAATAAGACACACAAACACACAACACAACCCTACACCACAGATCCCACACCACAGCCACCACACAAACAACCAAAACATCCACCACCCCAAAGACCACGACAAACCACCGCACCACACACCCCAACAGAAACGCCACACTACACAAGCACACAAAAAAACCCCACCACAAGCTCCCACCCCCAACCCCCAAAACCAACAAGCATACCAACAAAACAAACAAAAAGACAAAACACCCCAACACACAAAAACCCCCCAACTACCAAAGGACACACACCACACCCAAACAACGACTCAAACCCAACAAAAGAACACACAATATCACCAATAGAGGCCCCCCACCACCCAAGCCCACACCAACACCAAAAACAATACAATGACACCACACAAGAGCCACACACCCACAACCCCAGGAACACATATCACCACGCAGACACACACAACAACAGAAATACATAACAAAAAAAAAAAAAAAAAAAAAGAAAAACAAAAAAAAAAGAAACCCCAAACAACCCAAAGTTCCCAAAAAAAACACACCCCAAAAACCTCCAACACAACCAGACTACCACCCACAGACCCAACCCACACACCACAAAACAACCTATAAAACAATACCCAGAAACGTCACACAAACAGCTGAGCTGGGTTGGGGGTTGGGGTGGGCCTGGGGTGGGGGCTGGGGTGCCCCCAGTCTGCCAGGGCTTCGAAGTGGCCATCATGAGGATCGGGCACTGGGGAGCCGGTGCCCACCCACCCACTCATGAGCTCCCCAGCAAAGGAGGCCCAGATGCTGCCAGTGGGGTGGGTCCTGGCTCCTGGGTGAGATTCACCTGCCAAGGAGCTCCACCGACTCCCGAGCACCCCCACCCCCTACCCCAGCAGCCCTACATCCTCCTATTACCTGGGAAAGGCCAGCCCATCACCACGGACCTGCATGGGCACACTGGCTCCGTGTCGAAGTCAGGCATGAATATTTCACGAGCGGCATCATAAATAATGCACTTATTTAGAAAGACACTGAATATTTTATAGACTGAAATGCAGCCCAATTAAAGACGGGATCCACATTGTGAGGGGCTGGATTTCTCATCCGCATGCTGAAGACCCGAGTGGCACAGGGGGGCACACACCTGGTGCCCGCTCTAGCTGCAGCCCCCGCCCCTGCTGACCCCACCTGTCCTCATCAGGGTCCCTTTGGGCCCCACACCTGCCTTCCCAGAGCCTCCCTCTGCTTTAGGGGAGTAAATGGAAGCTGGGTTCCCGGAGAACAGACAGAACCTTCCAGGGCCCAGGGCCTTCCACCTCCTTCCTCCACCTCCTGGACTCCGTTCTCCATTTCTCCTCACAAATGGAAGTTTCTTTTCAGATTTTTACATCTTCCATAATGAATAGCTTTTCTAGTACTTTATTTTATTAAAACTTGTAATTTATTTTAAAAACCAAATTCCAAGACAAAGATGTGAGCCCCATAGGACGTGCTGGGGTGAGGTGGGCAGGACCAGGCAGGACTGGGGCAAGGGTGGGAGGGGCCAGGCAGGGCTGGGGCAAGGGTTGGCAGTGCCAGGAAGGGTTGGGACAAGTGGGAGGGACCAGACAGGGGCTGGGGCAAGGGTGGGAGGGGCCAGGCAGGGCTGGAGCAAAGGTGGGCAGGGCCAGGCAGGGTTGGGGTGAGGTGGGCGGGGCCAGGCAGGGCTCCCTCAGGCCTGGGAGGGGCTGAGGCCCCAGCAATGGGGGCAGCCTCATCTGGGAGAGGGACCCTCCTCCTTCTCGCAGGGTCTTCCCTTTTCCTCCTTTGTGGTTAGAATTAATACTGTTAACGTTCTTCTCCTGCTGTAATTAACCATCTTGTTAGCCCTGGCTGTCCAGGCTGATTTTCCCTCATTCTCTCGGTGTCCAGCGTCTGAGCCTGGAACCATCGCTTACTTAGTATTTTAGGAATTTTGACAGGAGATTTGTTTCCTGCCTCTGCCTTCTCCTGGAGATAAGGGACTGTGCCTTGGGGGACCCCCAGGCTCTACACCTGCCCATGGCCAGCAGCAGTGGGCAGAGAGGGTCGTCCCCTTGGGTCAGCCCGGCCTGGCCTCCCAGGCTCACCGGCTGCCCCTTGAGGGCCCAGAGCCGCCATTCCCCGCTGCAGGCTCCAAAGGCTGCATTCCTAAAACCCTGACTAACAGACACCTGTTCGCACAGGCCCGGCCCAGAACTGGCTCTTCCAGCCGTCTGTGAGGCCTGACTTAGCACAGGAGCTGCCTCAGCCAGGTCCGGGCCACTGGAGTGCGGAGGCCGGGGGTGCCTGGAGGCAGGGGCGCTGGAGTGCTGCTGCCGCAGAGAAAGCGTTCTCGTGGTCTGGGGTTGGTCTTAAAGAAAAATGGGCAGCGTGCTTCTTGTCTGAGGTTTCTGTATGAACGGGAAGCTGAGAACCCGTGTGTGCTGAGCTATCCTGGGTGCTTGTGGTCTTTTGAGAGGTGGGGAAGTGGGCGAGAGGGAGACATTGATTCAGACAAGAAAGGAGGGAAGGGGAGAGAAGAGGGAGGAGGCTGCACACAAGAAGGGGCCCGACTGGGAGCTCCCCCACCCCCCACCCCGTCAGGAAAAAGCCCAGTGGACCTCGCCCCACCAGGCCCTGCCTGAAGCACCTGGATGCCCACAGCCAGGCCCTCGATGTGACCAAGGCTAAGATCAGCCTGGCTTCCCCAGGGCCCCACCGCGCCCCAACATGCGGTGCCTGCAACCCAAGTCTGGTCCACGTGGAGGCTGAGAGCCTGTCTGAACCACTGCCTGGGGCAGCCCTCTTTGGGCCCCAGGGCTGGCTTCTGGTCCTAAGGGTGACCCCTGCTGCTGGAGGGAGAGGCCCTCCGTCCAGTCCCTGGGTCTCTGGCCATCGGGCCCCGGAACTGATTCCTGATGACCCTCATATTCAAAGCTAAGGCCGGGGGGTGGGGTTCAGGAAGACCCAGATGCAGGAATCCCAGGCACAATCCCACAGCTGGGCCTGGTGCGCCTCTACCAGGGGCTGGGCTCTGGGGCTCCCATGGGCCTCTCCCAGGGACCCCCGCCCATGCATTGATTCGTGCACTTCCTGCCCTCCCGCCCAGCAGCTGCTCCTGGCCACCTTTCCCTCCTCTTCCAGGAGGAGGAAACAGGAAGGAAGGGGCTAGGAGAGGGACAAGGAGGGAGCAAGGAGAGGGGGGGACATGGAGGGCAGGAAGGAGACAGGAGGGGGGAACAGGAGGAGGGGCAGGAGGAGGGACCAGGAGGGGACAGAGGAGGGACCGGAGGAGGACCGGAGGAGGGGCAGGAGGAGGATCAGGGGAGGGCCAGGAGGAGGACAAGGAGGAGGGCAGGAGGGAGGGACAGGAGGAGGGGCAGGAGGAAGGGACAGGAGGAGGGACAGAGGAGGGGCAGGAGGAGGGAACAGGAGGCAAGGGACAGGAGGCAGG